GGGCCACCTGCCTGCGTGGTTGTCAGGAAGGGAGTGTGCACTTGGAGACCTCGAGACGCCCAGGCCCTTTGGGTTTCCTTGCCTGTTCTGCTTCCGTGGAGTCTAGTCTCGGCACCAGGTGTCATGGGAAGACACTACTTTTACCAAAGAGAAGCAGATGCTTCCTCCTCCAAGAGGAGAGAGGTGGGCAGCTTGATAAAAATGACTGCAAGTCAACCACAGGGTGGAAGCACCACTTCTACGATGAAACTTTGGGCCAAAGAATGGGGTGAGGGGAAGGTAGAGTTCAGTTTGGGGGCCTTTCAGTTGGTAAGGGAGCTGCTGGAGGCTGGAGGGCCAGCATTTCTTGCAGGTTTTCTCATGGGTCTCTCACTTCCCCTAGAAGGACTGGGTCTGACGCCTGCAGACAGACCCAAGGCTCTAAAATAACTGACTTCTTTGAAGCTGAGCCAAGCACACAAAAGGGTGGAGAGGCTCCAGCTTCTCTTCAGTGGGAGAGCCGGGTCTTCTGGGCCGAAAGCACATTGAGCCTTTGTCTCTCTCTGATTGTTCATGCCCTGCTTTTCTCACGACTCCTGGAAGATGTCCTTGAAGGCAGCTGGCTCAGCTCACGGGGAGTACTGGAGTGGCCCCCTGGGGCCCTCCCATTCTCATGGTGTCTTCCTGCAGCTGGGGACCCCTGTCCAACCACTCTATCCAGGTGTCCCAAGAGCTGTATATGTTTTCTTCCTCCAGATTCTCATTTCCTAAGAAGTGACTGTGTAGATAAGAAAAATTTTGTACCATCTCCACATGTGAGACGCCCTTATCAAAAAGATTGGAAACAAGTGAGGAAAAGGGCCCCTTATACACTGATGGTGGGAATGTAGACTGTCCAGCCCCTATTGAAACAGTATGGAGGAGTCTCAGTATTAAAAATTGATCTGCCTGGCCCTCCCTGGTGGCGCAGCAGGTTAAAGCACTGCACTACAAAGCTTAAGCCACTTCAGCATGAGTTCAATTCCCGCCTGCCCCGGAGGAGTCCACATGGCGAGGCAGACCTCTCCTGACCCGCCCGCTGCTCCCCTCAGCAGTGTACTTCGTGGATCTGCCTGTTCTGCTCCCCACTCTGTCTCTGGTGAATCCTCTCACCCTCCGCATCTCTGGCCTGTACCCCAGTTCTATATGAATAAATAAATAAAATCTTTAAAAAAAAAATTGATCTGCCATATGCCCTAGTAATGCCAGTCTCCTAGGTATCTGCCTGAAGATTGCAGAAACAAGGGGTATGTGCATGCCAGTGTTTGCAGCACTATTTATAATAGCCAAGTTAGATGAGTACTTCAATAACATGGTCTTTTTCACAAAGATGTCCTCCCAAAACCAAAGCCTTAGCAAAAATTTTGAAGGCCAACAAAGTAGTGCTTAAAGGCATCCACAGCCATACACACAAGAGAGCCACACATGACCCATGTTTTCATGATCCAAGACACTGCTCCTTCAGGGGAAACAGGCCTGGCTATGTCAGGTTCCCCGTCCCCCGCACCACCACCACCACCTGGACAGCCACGGTGAAGGTGGAAGACAGCACATTCATATTCAATGTGGACGTCAAAGCCAACAAACACCAGAACAGACTTTGAAGGAGGCCTGTGACCTTGACTTTGTCCACCTTGATTACATCTGGTGGAAAGGAGAAGGCAGATATGTTTTACTGGCTCCTGGCTATGAGGCTTTGCATGTTGCCAACAAAATTGGGATCATCTAATTTGAGTCCAGCTGGCTGATTCTAAAGATCTTTTTTTTTTTTTTTAAACCATAAGAAAATGTGGTATATTTGCACAATGGAATACTACTCAGCTATATAAAGACAGAATCTTGCCATTTGCAACTTGGATGGACCTGGAGAGGATAATGCTCAGTAGAAATAAATCAGAGGGAGAAAGAAAACTAGAGGATTACATTCATGTGAAATATAGAGAAACAAAACAAAAGGCCAGAGAAACTAAATCGAAACAGCCTAGCAATCTAACTATAGAACTGAGGTGACCAGACTTGAGAGAGTAGAGATGGGAAGAGCTGAGGGGGGAGGGGCCCAGTGTATGTGGGGAATGATGGGAGCCTCCGTGGTGGGCATGATGTGGTGATGTATGGGGGCTAGTATGTACTCCTAAGTCATATACAGTGTTGTAAACTAATGTTACCACAATAAAAAAGAAAAAACAAAGCCCTCCCCAGTGGTGCAGCGGGTTAAAGCACAGCACCGAGAAGCTAAGCCACTTCAGCATGAGTTCGATCCCCACCCCGGAGGTGACCCACATGGCGCAGCAGACCTCTCCTGACCCGCCTGCTGCTCCCCTCAGTAGTGTACTTCATCAGTCGGCCTGTTCTGCTCCCCACTCTGTCTCTGGTGAATCCCCTCACTGCCCCTGCATCTCTGGCCTGTACCCCAGTTCTGTATGCATAAATAAATAAATCTTTAAAAAAAAAAGAAGAAGAAATAACAATGAAAAATATCTTCTTTGGAGCAGAAATTTCCTTTTTAGTGTATGCCCAAAAGCCAGACACTTGGAGTTGAAGTGTCCTTAACTCCACAGCCAGGGCTTCTCACCCGCCTTCTGTGGCTTGTAGAATCTCCCCTGACTCCCTGGAGGCTGGGTAGGTCAAGATTCCAGTGTTGACCTGGGCCTGAGGGCCTCTGCTGAATCTCCGCACCCTGTGGGAACTGGTCTGTCAGAGGCATCATGGAACCCTGTAGTACTTTGTTTCCTAGAGGTGAGAGCCGCGTGCTGGGGGCAGAGAGGAGAGGTCATTGAGCCTGGTAGGAACACTGTCCCCAGCACGTCCCTGTCCTGGGCCTCAACAGCTGCAACAGAGCCGTGCTGGGGGCTGAGGGACCTCCAGGGTCAGCAGATAGCAAATGCTTCGCATGTGCTGACTGCCCCAGGTAAAGCTGCTAAAATTGTCTTGGGCGTTCCACACGTGAAGGTCTGTGTTTGTGTGCTCTGCATGTTTTTGAAGTTGCTCCAGATACATTTGTGAATAGAGTTGAAGTGATTCTGCAGAAGGACCGGCCCTGTACAAACCTGGCCTCCAAGGCATAGCTGGGAGGTTCCTTTTGCAAAGGTCTGTGCATTTGATAACAAAATTGGGGTGCCCAGTGGGGTGGATGGAAACTGGGAGAGAGAGGCAGAATCCTGCGCATCTCCACGGTTCCCAGGGCTTAGTGAGCGCCGAGCGCTTGGCGAGTTGGCACTGGGAGCTCTGTCCCTGCTTTGCCTCGCCTTGTCCAAGTCCACACAGCCTTCCCCACCCTCATCTCCATCCTGACTCTGCGCACACCTTACATAGATGCCAGTGGAGAACAGCTTTCTTTATACAGTGGGTTGTGACCTAAGATGCCGCCTCACTGTCCACAATGCAACTTTTCATTCTTCGTGGATAGTTGTTTGTTTCATGCTTCTACAAGCCCATCATCTTTTGCTGGTGCCTCATCTATCCATTTCTGTGATTCAAAGCATGTTCTACTGTTTTGTGTCCTCAATGCTAATGGCCCAGTTCTGTAGAATTTAGAGCCTGGAATGTTCCCAGGTGCGTTTGTGCTAGGGCTCTTGGGTGGTGTGTGAGCTGTAGGCTGGAGGAATTAGCTGCCGGGGCTGCTGCAGAATTGTGTTCCCTTCGCAGCTTAGCATCTGGGCTGAAATAGTCAGAGGAGGAACCCTACTAATTATAAGTCCTGTAACAACCACATTTTATTGCATGCTTCCCATAATTTTGGGTGACATGGCAAAGCTCACATCATGGATCTCCACAGGTACTCAGGGAAGTGGCTCTCAACTGTATAGGTGAGAAAACTGAGGGAGAGAGGGGCTCAGAACCCGCCTGCTCACTTGTCTGGTCAGCACTGATGCGGAGCCAGGTGGGGCGCTGCCTTGCTGTTGTGGGTCAGTCAGTCAGTTGCCTGAGATCACACAGCTAGTGAGTGGCAGGGTCAGGATGCAGACAGACCTGTTCACCCCTGCACTCCCTGCCTCCCCTGGGAAGCCTCAGGCCCAGGCCTGGGGGCTGGGCTGGGCTAGGCGTGGACCCAAGAGATTGGGCTCTTGGTCTAGATTGAAGCAGCTTATTTGCCCTCCTGGTGTTTGTTGGCTTCACTAATTAAATTATAACTACACTAAAGGAAATGATTAACAAAAGAGAAAGCTGGTTATTCTCTTAAACTCGTTTTCCTCTGTTCCTTCTCAGTTCTTCCTTATATAACATTAACTCTGTGCTCCCATTTTTTATCATTGCACACAATTTCCTGCTATTGGGACATCACCTCACGTGGCCATAGCATCTTCCTGCCTGTAGCCCTTTTGCTTTTGGGTTGCTTCTCAGTGTGTATCCAGAGGCAGGTCTGCAATGATTTGAATATTACAGAGTGACCATTTTTGTAGCCATCAGCAGTACCACACTAGCCTCATTAACTTTTGGTTTTATATACATATATATGAATATATATACCTGTTTCATTAAAACAAAATAGTACCAAAAACCACTACAGTCCAGCCTTTAAATTTGCATTTTTTAAATAGAGATATCGAGTATTTTTCATATTTAGGTGGCATAAAAATCAGCTTTATTTTGGTTGATAATGTGTATTTTTCCCAGTCTGTTTCCCCCCTTTTAGCTGTAGTGATTTTCTTTTTTCAGATAAAAATACACACAAAAGGAGACAGGTTAGTCTGTCATTCCCATGTGCCGATCCTCATGCCCAATTTTTTATTCATACTCTTAATGCAAATTGAAAACAAAGTTATTTTTTTCAGGTAAGAAACCACTTATAATCATGACTATTTTACTATCTCTAAAAGAAAACTAGGCAGCCACCTTAGAAAAGGGGCAAAGAGTCAGCCTTGATGATTCCAGAGTTTGAGGGGGATTTGTTTGGAACTTGGCTACCCAGGGATCACCGAAGAGGGAGTGAGAGTTGAAGAGGTGTGTTTGAGCTGTGTCCTTTCTGCTTTTGGCTCTTTCAGGTCTATTTGGCATCATGAAGCTGCACCCAGCCTGCTGCAGCTGCTTCCTGCTGACCCTGTTCAGTGTCTGGAGCCTCACTCCTGAGGCCCAGGCTGTGTCCACGGAGAGAGTGGCCATCACTGCAGCCTCTTTCCTGCAAAACCTCATGCATCGCTATGGGGAGGGAGACACTCTCACCCTGCAGCAGCTGAAGGCTCTGCTCAACCACCTGGATGTGGGAGTGGGTCGGGATAACATCAGCCAGCCTGTGCAGGGGCAGAGGAACCTCTCCAGGGTAAGGCCTCAGCTCTGCCGGGAGCCCGTCTCTGCCCTGGGGGTGGTAGTGGGGGTGAGGGGAGGGCTCCATGTCCTAGCTGGGCATGAAGCTGAGCACATCAGGGTGGCTTAGTTTGAGCTGGTAAGTCTGAGTATGCAGGTGGCCCCCTGACCACCTGGGTGGGCCTTTGAAACCCTTCCTGAAGACTCACGGGAAGTGGGGGTTCACAAGCTTCCAGGCTTTTTCTAAGAGCTATACTGGGATCACCAGCTCCCAGGCTGGGACACCCAACAGCACGTGTTTAAAAATTCATCTGCGTCAATTTGGACTCGTGGCAGCCTGGCTGACCAGTGGCAGAGTGCTCCCAGGAGTTGGGTAGAATGGGCAGGATGTTAATGGGATTTTTTTCAACACGGTTCCCTTCCCTTAAGGCAAGGCAGAGTCTTATTTGGTAGGGTACCTCGCTAGTATTAATGGACTTTCTTAGATTGGTTTAAAATTCCACCCCTTTGGGTTAGATTAGTCTTGGTGGGACTTAGCATAGGTCCTGTTTGGGGGGCTGTTCTTGTTTACTCTTTTTAACCCATTTCTAATAGAGTTTACCGTTTCCAAGGGCCTTTGCCCACTACCCAGGTGCCCTGGCAGTACCTCTAGGTACAAGTGGGAAATCTTCATTTTCTAGGAGAAAATACGAATGGTCCCTCAGTGAGTCGAGGGATTGGGACCAAGACCCAGAGAACTCCTGGTTCTCTGTCCTTTTTTCCAAATCTTCTTGGCCAATCAGAGTCTGGGGTTATTTGTAGCAGCCAAGTAAGTCAGGCAGCAACGTCTTTATATATCTAGTTTGTTCCCAGTGCTCAGTGTTGTGAGAAACAGAGAAAAATGAGTCATGTTTGGGGAGTTTACTGTCAAGATGAGGCGCCTCACCAACTGAGAACAGTTATCTGATATTAAAATGAAGTACCAAGTACAGGATTTAGAAATGGAAATTTCTAGGGTGGGGTGTCCTGGGGCCTCACCTTGAAGGTGAGGAGAGTCTAGAGAGATGAGTGCCCCACACAGAACCCCAGGATGCTGATGTGCCTGACCCCAGGGGGTCTGTGGACTCAGAAGCACACCCAGAGGGCTGACTCCTTAGAGACAGGCCCACAGAAACCCAGACAAGTACAGTAGACAGAAATGCACGGTCTGAGGACCCTCCCAAGGAGGCCGAGAGAGCATGTCCTCTGGTCAGCCGGCGCGCTTGTGGCCGACTTTGACTCTTGAGCTCTCCCTCCACCAGTGCATTCTCTAGATGGGAGACCCTACTGCGTAACCAAGACAGACATATTCCCGCGATGGGCACCAGGGCTCAGGATCTCTGGAGAAGGATCCCGCATGTTAGCCTTACGGCTTCAGGGTACTGTGACCTTCAGCCAGAAAGTGTCTGCATAGAGCTGTGTCTTCAGCTATGCAAGTAGACGTCTGTGTCCCAGAAACCACACCCTGGTCACTATGGTCAGAATTTCAGTTGCCCCCAGCACTCCTCAGGGGCATGCAGATGGGGTGTGGCTTCGCCTCGGTGGCTGGTTTCTGAGATGACATCTGTTTTTCAGGTTTAGAAATTACCTTGCCTCTTCCCAGGAGACGGGGTCTGCAAATTGCCTCAAGTTTGGGCACTTCTGGCTTCTTTTCTTCCTCTTGGAAGAGTGAGTGGCCACTGAGGAGGAAGGTGCAGCTGGGTTCTGAAACGCTTCCTGTCCCTCCTGCTTTGTTTCAGTGCTTTAGTTCCAGAGACCTCTTTGCTGCCCACAACTTCAGTGACCAGTGGAGGATTGGAAGGAGTGAGTTCCAGGAATTCTGCCCCACCATCCTCCAGCAGCTGGATTCCCGGGCCTGCTCCTCCGAGAACCAGGAGAATGAGGAGAATGAGCAGACAGAAGAGGGGAAGCCAAGTGCAGTGGAAGGTGAGTCTGGCCCCATGCCCGCCCTCATGCGGGTGGCCAGCTGCTGTGAGACTGGGCAGCCGTGTGGCTGGTGACCGCATGTGTGGTGCCTTCGGACCAGCCAAAGGCTGGGCGCTTTTTTGTTTTTTGTTTTTTTTTTCTCTAAATCAGTTTGCCTTTTTGGTTTTTATTAAGCCACAAGGGGAGCCCCACCTTGGTTTTGTAGTTTCTCATTTAAAACCTCACCAAGTCTGCCCTTCACGCTTCTCCCTCTCCCCTGCCGGACACCCTGCCCCAGCCGCAGTGAGTGGACTTAAGATGGTCAGCAAGCATCCCCGATTCCCTGGGCCTAGAGCGCCCGCCCTGCTGAAATCATGGGTGCAGTGCTTGTTCACCAGCCCTGGCCACCCGCTCAGGCTTCCCATCCTGTCCTGTTGTTGCCATTTGCCGTCACTGGCTCCCAGACTGTTTTTCCCTCAGTCCAAACGGTAGGCGTCTTTTGTTTGGCAACTTTGATGTACCTTCTAGCCTTTTTTCCCAGCACCCAGTAAGAGGACTCAGGCAGTCTTTATTGCTGGGTGGTGGGTCTCTGATTGCAGGCGAATCTGAAAGGGCCTCCCAGGCCGGCCTGAGCGCCCCCGCCCGTGGTAACGGAGGCCCTCGTCTGTTCTTGTTCCTCCACAGTGTGGGGCTTTGGTTTCCTCAGTGTCTCACTGATTAACCTGGCCTCTCTCCTGGGAGTCCTCGTCCTGCCATGCACGGAGAAAGCGTTTTTCAGCCGTGTGCTCACTTACTTCATCGCCCTGTCCATTGGAACGCTGCTCTCTAATGCGCTCTTCCAGCTCATCCCAGAGGTGCGGTAGAACAGAAGTGTGCGCGTCCTCTCGCCCTGGGGTGTTCTGAGCTGATGCTCACCCCTGACAGCTGCCACCCGAAAAATTAACTTTTCCATATCTCAAGGGACACAAATGACTTCGCTCTGGATCTCTAAGGCCTTCTCTCACTCGGGGCACCAGGTTTGCTTGTGGTCGCTTCGGGTGAGGTCAGGTGCAAGGCTCTTGCCCTCCCTGCTGGGGGCCCTCAGTGCCCTTCCTCGGCCGGTGTCTTTTCTAAACGCCACCTACTGGTGCTGCTGTCCGGGCCTTGGTGTCCGGGGCCCTCTCCTCTGAGCAGAGGCCCTGTGCTACATTTAAAGCAGCCCGTCTCTTAGAGCATAGAGAACCAAAGGCCAAAGACTGTATTGAACAAAAGCAGTTGAAATGACCAAATGAAGGAGAAGGGTGTTCATTCCTTCGTGCCTTGCATCTTGACTTTTTTTCCTGATGAGACTGACTTCCTGGTGCCCTTACTTGACTGTTTGGAAATGTGTGATTTTGTTTTTTAATTGTGATGACTGAGGAGCTTTAAAAAAAAAAAAAAAAAAAAGGCCCAAGGTGACCGCCTGACCACCCAGTCTGCCAGGCGGGACCCTAGCAGGCAGTTGAGGCCTCCCACCTTCGGGAGGTAGGGACCATGTTGGTGGGTCCCCATGATGCTGGAGACTCCCCTCCAGCATCATTCCTGGGGGAGTCTGGACCCCGAGACTTGCCTGCTCCTTCGTAGTTAGAATGGAGGTCTGGTGCAGGGTGAACGTTGCCATGTTGCTTCAGAATCCATGCGAGCCTCACTAGAGCTCCAAGGGGGGGCGGGCCTCACCTTGGGCTACTTTTTTCAGCTCCAGAAACTTAATTTATTAATTGTGTAAAGATTTGGGATGCAACCTTGTTGCCTTATTGAATGGAAATTACAATCATCGTGCAAGCTCCACCCCGTGGCTGGTGGGGCAGCACCTCTTCCTGACTCAGGTTTGTCCTGCCCGGAGTGTGCGACACTAGAGGATGGAGGAGATTTTTTTGTGCCGAGTGATCTTAGAACCCTGTTCTCTCTGCTAGCGCCCTCTCGAAGCTAGCAGAGCGAGCGAAGCAAAAAAAAAAAAAAAAATCTTAAGAAGCGAAGAAACAGAATTTTGCCGTCATGAGGCTGCTCATGGTTTCCAGCCCTGCTCCCCGCACTGTGACTGTTGAGCCTCACACAAAGCCAAGTCCAGGGGCCATGTGTGCCCGGCGGCACGGAGCAGGTGTGCAAAGCAAACACGCCGGCATATTCTCCCGGCTCATTCCTGGCCAAGAGGACCTCAGAGTCTAAAGTCTGCCGCAGGTGGCCTCTGGAAGGCCCGCGCTCACCTCACAGGTGTGTGACATCCTGCCCTGCCGGTCACACCAGCTGGCACACGCAGCTGCTGTCAGCGAAGGGGACAGGGTTCCAAGATCACCCTGAGTTCCTCCTCATTTTTTTTTCCTGAAACTTGATTGAAGGAAATTTTATCAGACTTGAATCACTAACAAATTCTCTTTCTCTCTCCCTCCCTGCTGTCTCTCTGATTTTTCTTTTTTGTTTCCTTTGTTAATATCCACCGAAACCTCCCTTGTTGCTGCCCCATCCTCTCCACCTGCCCCCCTCTGTGTGGTGGTGGCCGTGCAATGCGGCCTGGCGGCCTTCTCCCTGTCCCGGGTGGGGCTGGCTCTCCCCGACGGCAGTGTGGGGATACGGTCTCCTCTGTGTGACTGTCATCTCCCTGTGCTCCCTCATGGGGGCCAGCGTGGTGCCCTTCATGAAGAAGACTTTTTACAAGAGGCTGCTGCTCTACTTCATAGCTCTGGCGATTGGAACCCTCTACTCCAACGCCCTCTTCCAGCTCATCCCCGAGGTATGGTGAGCCAGGCTCTCACACGGGAGCATGCTGTCTCCTGGGGGGCAGCGGGGCACAGCAGGAGGACCCTCTCTTTAGAAGGAGAGCATAGAAAGGAAGTCCTTTTCCTTTTGGAAAATGAGGCTAGGTCTTAGGCTTGAGCTCAGAAGGGCAGCATGGCACAGGCTGTGCTTCAACTCCCAGCTCCTGCCCAGGTCAGCAAGTGTAAGGCCTTAGGCAGTTCTGTTATCTCCCATCTAAAATGGAAGAAAGAATAGCACTGACCTCATGATGACGTTGTGACCTGTTCTGTAGCTGTGAGCAAAAAGATGGAGTGTTTATAGCTCCCAATTTGGGACTCTGGGCACAGGGAAACATAAAACACATCAGCAGAATCCTTAGGGCTCTCCTCAGCAGGGCCTTTGGGGACAAACAACCCAAATAAAAGTCCAACTTCCCATGTGTTGACCGCAGCTTCACCCATTCACCAAGGTTAAGAGAAAATCGCCCACCCCCCAGAGGTGGGAGTTAAGTCTCGGCTTGGCAGCCAGCCTCGGAGGACTTCTGTCTGGTCTGCTGTTGTCTCTGCACTTCCTCCCGGGAGGTCTGACAGGCCTGGATGCAGCTCAGTTGAGGCGAGGCCAGGATGGTGTCTGCAGCAGTGCTCCTGTGCGTCCCCATCTTTCCTGGCGTCTTGCAGAGAGCTGTTAATTCCTGCTTTCAGTTCATTTTTCGCCAAGATTGGACTCTCGTGGAAAGTTGACCTGATTGTGTCCTTTCTACATTAGAGCTGGGCTTTCTGTCTCTCAAAAAACTCAGCAGGAGGTAGAAGCCCCATTTTGTCCCTTTATCACAGAAAGAAGAAACACTAACCATGTAAGCAGCTCAGTGCTCTTGTATGACACTTTTATCTTTGACCTGTTCACAAGGAGGCTGGACTTTTTTCAAGGCCTGTTTCCGTCTGTAAATCAAATTGCAGGTCACAGGGCATGTTCCCAAGGCCCTGCCATAGTCAAGAGCATCACCGAGGTGGAATGCCCCGATGCCTACTCTCACCCTCTTCTCCAAGGGTTCTTTTTTACTTTGTTTTCTCCTCATAAACAGCGCGAAGTATTCGGAAGAACCCCAAACCCCAAAATTGACACATGCCGGAACACAGTCTGCTTTCTCGGCTTTGTGGTCAGCGGGAGGTCTGTGGTCAGGAAGATGCCACCATTCTAACCGGGGAATGGATTTCCTATTTTAGAAAGTATAATTACACCATCTCCCTTTGCTTTTATGGGCAGATCATCCAAGGACACTAGACGACAGTGAAAATACAGTGTCTTCTCCTTAAATATGGAATTTACCAGCAGCGTCTGCCCCTGTGGCAAACAAAACAAGATAGATGAAGACTGAGGCTTTCCTAAAAGCAAAAAAAAAACATAGACAAGGCTGTTTTTCCTGAAGATGATCTGTCTTTTGCATCAGAAAATAAGCTAGAGAGAAAACCTAGCAGATCTTATGATGTGCCTTAGGGAGATATCCAGGCAACCTCGGGTTGGAAAGGGGTTGAGTAGGTGGCCCAGGCCTCCGGGCATCTCTCCTTCCTGAGGAGAAGCGGCTAAGAGGTGAGAGGGGGTCACTGATGATTTTTTTCTTTTTAAGATTTATTTATGCATGTAAGAGCTGGGGTGTAGGCCAGAGATGCTGGAGGATGAGAGGACTCAGGAGAGACAGAGTGGGAGCAGAACAGCAGACTGATGGAAACACACTGCTGAGGGGAGCAGTAGATGAGACAGGAGAGGTCTGCCGCACCATGTGGGTCAGCTCCCTGCCCGGGGACCGAGCTCGTGCTGCCGTGGCTTCCCATAGCTTAATAGTGCTGAACCCCAATGCTTGTGCCACCAGGGAGGCCCAAATTTTTTATTTTCTTTAACTCATTTTTTTCCCCCCCGGGTCCACAGGCTTTTGGTTTTAACCCTCTGGAAGATTATTACGTCTCCAAGTCTGCAGTGGTGTTTGGGGGCTTTTACCTTTTCTTTTTCACAGAGAAGATCTTGAAGATGCTTCTTAAGAAAAATGAGGTGAGGCCCAGTGGATGGTGAAGGGATGCTGCCTGTGGCAGCAGGCTTCTCAGAGCAGGTCTGCATTCTGGTGGTGGTGTTTCTAAAACACAGTGAGCTTATTTGGCATCCTCACCATAGACCGAAACCCACAGATTTCATGGGTAGAGATCAAGCCCATGTCAGCTCACAAGGATATTATTAGCAGGGTTTGAGGGCGGATGAGAAGCCAGATCTGGTCTTTTATGAGGTGATGACTTATCCCCATTGGTTTTTTTCTAGGTTAATATGCCCTTTGCCTTTAGGAGCAGGGCTTGTGTGTGTGTGGTGGGCGAGGGGAATGAGTGATACCTATATTCAGCATGTATGGAAGATAGCTGCAAAGAAATAGGATTGTTTGTTGTGAAATTCCAAAGGAAAAAAAAAACCCTCTTTTGTATCTGGTCTATAGTATTCCCCTAAATAGTTGCTAAATTGGATAACATTAGCCATTGCAAAGGGGAAGGGCTAAATACGGGCAGGGTGGGCTCCCCAGAGTACCTGTCTTCTGCCTCACCTTGCTGTCGCCCTGGCTCAGCTTTTTGAGCAGCTTTCCCTGGGTTTCTCACAAGTTGCCTGCTTGTGTTTTCTTAGAAGGTGAGAATGAGGTCTCCCCAGGGCCTAGAGCATTTCCTCAGAGTGGGTGCCCAGTGGGTGGTTTAGGGAGTGGCACACTGACATCCCCCCTCCCCTCCACACCCCCCACCCCCACCCCCTGGCATCCCTCCAGCATCATCATGGACACAGCCATTATGCGTCTGAGACACGTCCTTCCAAGAAGGACCAGGAAGAGGGGGTGACCGAGAAACTGCAGAATGGGGATCTGGACCACATGATTCCTCAGCACTGCAGCGAGCCCGACGGCAAGGCCCCGGCGATGGACGAGAAGGCTGTTGTGGGCTCGCTCTCTGTCCAGGTCAGTGGGCCAGCCACTTCTTCGTGGGCACCTTTAAGCGGTGATGGCCTTGCTGATTTGGCACTGTCTCGAAGGTCATCAATCCACCCTCGGTCCTTCCTCATAGGATCTGCAGGCTTCTCAGAGCGCCTGTTACTGGCTGAAGGGCGTCCGCTATTCTGATATCGGCACTCTGGCCTGGATGATCACCCTCAGTGATGGCCTCCACAATTTCATTGACGGCCTGGCCATCGGGGCCTCCTTCACCGTGTCTGTTTTTCAAGGCATCAGCACCTCAGTGGCCATCCTCTGTGAGGAGTTCCCACATGAGCTGGGTAAGCGTGCACCTGTGCTCCCCGGTGCCCTTCATGTGGCCAATGCCTTGCTACCCTCTGCCCTTCATTAGAAGCTTGTTGTAACTAATCAGCCATGATTGGCACTATTCCAAATACCCGATATAGGTCATCTTCTTATGGCCTGTCACTCTGCTGAATGCTTTCCTGTGTGTAGGAAGTCTGGGTGGAAGCAGCAGACCAGCCAGGGGCCAGGAGGTCCTCCACTTTATTGGAGGTGGCGTTAAAAGCCTGCCCTTCAAAGCCTCAAGGTCAAATCCTAGCTTTGCTGCCGTTAGTGGCTAGTGACTTTGCATAGATTACTTGACTTCGCTCAATCTCAATGTTGTTTCCAAATACAACATTCGTTGTCCTTGTGAGGAAGGAAGCCCCTTCTATTTCATCATCAACCCAGAGAAAGGAAGCTGGTGCTAGTTGGTCACCGTTTTTGAAAATGTTCAGCCTCTGGGTAGAAGTAGGAGCCATACAAATGGACATGGAGAAGAGGGTTCCTTGGTCATGTCACTTTCATCTGAGTCTGGGGGTGACCTGGGTGGCACCCAAGGTTTACACATCACCTCAGCAGTTTGCCTTCATCCCGTCTCTGTTCCCCTGCTGCAGGAGACTTTGTCATTCTGCTCAACGCCGGCATGAGCATCCAGCAGGCCCTCTTCTTCAACTTCCTTTCCGCCTGCTGCTGTTACGTGGGGCTGGCCTTTGGCATCCTGGCCGGCAGCCACTTCTCTGCCAACTGGATCTTTGCCCTGGCTGGAGGGATGTTCTTGTATATTGCTCTGGCCGACATGGTAAGTCTCCTGTAGTTTATGCCATGGAGGCATCGGGGAGTACAGCGAAGAAGACATCAGTTGGGTTTTTAATTAGCTTTATTGATGAAACATCCACATACTGTGCAGTTCACCTATCTCAGATAAATTTAGTGTTTCGGAAGAAGACATTAGATTTTACAGAAGGAAAAGTTTGGGTTCTTCTTAGTGTATGTAATTAAATAAAATGATTAAGCTCATCTTCAGAGTCCTTATGTAAGTATTGCAGAACGTGTTTATGGATAAGTGACAGGAAGGAAGGAGATGAGAGAAGGAAAATTATCCATAATCTCCCCTAAAACACCATCACTTTTTTTTTTAAGATTTATTTACTTATGAATACGAAAACTGGCCAGAGGTGCAAGGGGTGAGAGGACTCACCAGAGACAAAACAGGGGACAGAGCAGGCGGATTGACCAAAATACACTACTGAGGAGCGCAGCGGGGAGATGGACATGGGTCCACTGTGCCATGTGGCTCAGCTCCTTGGCCGGCGATCGCTTCATACGGCTGAGACTTAACCCACTGCGCCGCCAGGGAGGTCCCAGTGGTGGTAGTTGGCAAGAGGATAAACCTTCTGCAGAACTAGAATTGCTGTCTCAGAAGGGAAGCACAGGATGAGGCTTCTAGTTGCCAGGTTCCTTTCTGAAAGAGCTTACCCTTTCCGCATCGTTGCAGTATCGGAAAGTACATCATGCCAGTAGCATTTGGTATAACCATTTAATTTGGTATAGCGACGTTTTGAACTTGCCAGCCACATACCTGATTTGTTACAGCTTTTGCACAGCTGACAGGGCTGGTTTCCTTCCTTGCTTGCTGGCATGGCATATTCTTGGCATGTTTGCCAAATATTTTTCCATATCCTCTGAAAAGAGTGTTTTGGATGAGACGACAGTAGTTGAGTTCCACCGTCCAGCCAACCCCCCATGAAAGCACTACCGTTCTCTCATCCTGTGGGGAGCCCTCCCCAGGTTTCACTTGAATTAGAAGGTCTCTGTGGCCCCCGACATATCCCAAAGACATGACATCATTTTGGTACAAAAGAATTTTTCAAGTGTTTTTGAAGTCCACCATAAAAAGTTTATTTTTATCAATCAAAGTGACTATTTTTAACCAATTTCTGGACACATCCAGAGCAGTTCATAGTTGGACTCAGTAGTGGTAACCACCTTGGAGAAAGGCTGTTCCACTCAAGTCCTAGAGGCTATTGTTAGTTTTCTTCATAAGCCAATTCTGTGTTCATTATATATCTTAGATAATAATTATGTATTGCTGTATAGATTATCAGCTATTGCAGTAATCCGCACATATGACATGCTCGTGACTGTTACAAATACTAGAGCAACAGTAAGTGCTGTGGCAGTTCTTGGTGTGCGGTGTCTGGCTCGCTGGACTGCCCCGGACTCAGGAGCCTAGGGAAGGCACGATAACGCTCTTATTTTCTCTTCTGTCTCAGTTCCCCGAGATGAACGAGGTCTCTCAAGAGGACGAACGGAAGGGCAGCGTCTTGGTCCCCTTTGTCATCCAGAACCTGGGCCTCTTGACTGGTTTCACCATCATGCTGGTGCTCACTATGTATTCAGGGCAGATCCAGATTGGGTAGGGCCCGAGGCTGCCCAAGCCCTGGCCCGAGGACGCGGCACCCACGAAGCCCCTCGGAAGAGGCAGTTCTATTCAAAACTGACATGGGCTGTATTCCTGCATTCAGATGTCAGCTGTTGTTAAAATGCTCCGTCCTAGAATAAGCTGCCCTGTAACCAGTATCCAAGCCGACCCCTCCTCTCCTCTCCCTCTTCCTCAGAGTGACTCGGGAACCCGAATGCCCCTAGAAATCCAGCAGCCTGTCTTCTCCGGTTTCCCTGCCCTCTCCAGCCACCATGGAGAGATTTTGAATCCTTTGCCCTTGAATGCAAAAATAATAGCCAAGTGGTCATAACCCAGTTCGAATTAATCAGGAGGTGAATATAGTGTGGGGCCCATGAATCTTGATGTGCACCCTCAACATCAAGGTGACCCCATTTAATGGATTCACCTATTCTTTCAAGGTTTGTTCAGCTACCTGTTCTCTCTCAGAGAACTGGGACAGATAAGTGGGCAGGAGGAGAGGCAGGACCCATCATGGGTAAAAGTGGAGGCCACGCCTGAGTCCTGTCCTGGTGGCGACCTCTGTGCATGGGACACCAGGGGTCAGCTTTGTGGGTGTCCTTGCTCTGATGACCCATCAGGTAGATTCAGTCACTCAGGTCACTCCTTCTTTCATATTAAAACAGGCAGGATGGGGCCAGAGAAGGGAGACCTGCCAGCAATCAGTTTTGCTGTGATTTCGACCTCCCCTCCCCCACTTGCGTCTGCAGGAGGCTTTCTGCTGCCTCCCCTGAGAAGCACACTCTGAGCACATTCCCAAGGCAGACCTTGGCGGTGGGGAGATGGCACACACGGATAGCCCAGGTCAGCACACCCGCCACAGCCTGGCCACAGCCTGCAAGTTGGCATGTGGAACTGGAGTGCAGCTCGTGGTCTTCTCAGATGAGGACAGTCAGGAATGGACTTGGTGCAGACACAGGAGGCTTGGTTAGTCCCATGATAGAAGTGCTGGGGCATTGCGAGGCTGTGCAGAACAGGGGACGCGTGGATCGGTCTGCGGTGGGTTTTCAGTGACACTATATAGGTTACCCCACCCAAGAAAGGGCCAGCTCTGTGTTGCGTCGACTATTAACTGCTCTAATCCTCTTCAGAAAGTGGATGGATAGACTTATCTGTGAGACTGTAGGCCAGCCTCAGGCACTGTGGGGCCCTCTCCTTGGGACTTTGGCTTCGAGGGGAGCTGATCTCCAGGTTCACTAGGTGAATTGATTTATTATTATCATATTGATATGTGAGTTTCTTTAGCCACTTTGGGGAGCTGATCTCTCCAGAAGCCTTCCTTAGTGGTGCCCACAGTTGCAGCCTGGGGGCTGTGTCTGCAAGCTGACCTGTGTGCATGGCTGAGCGCTGGCTCATGACCAGCACCTGCATTTCTGTTCTTACACAGAAGAACTTGAGACTACCCAGTAATGAAACACAGTGTCTATTTCGCTTTTTTCTTCTTGGGAAACCTCCCTCAAACCAGGAATATTCTTAAAAAGAATATGAGCAGGAACTCACGGCTGATGATGCTCCCTTTAAGTTTTTCCTCCCATCTTGGCTTGCTGATTTTGATAGATTTAAGAATGGGCTGAAGAAGGACAGTTATCAAGACTCTAGAAGTATCAGGACTGATTCCTGATAGGATTATGGTCCAGTTTACCAAAGAACCAATTCCTCGAATGTTGGAATCTAACTTTTTATTGTGTCATTATCATCAGTTACTTTTGGAAAACAACTCTTTGTCTTTTCCTGTTTTATTTTTCTCATACTGCTTTCAGGAGCTGCAGAAAGTAACACTCAAACCTTAGGGCTTTAGAAGATTTTGCTGTCCTTAACTCATATTGATATATTAAATTTATCACTTTTAGCATTCCCTATAGATCTGTCATCTGTCATTCCTTCCAAAGGCCGTTATTCTTGGAGTAGAACACGTAAGTTAGTTAGTTAGTGGGCTTCTAGGTTAGGAGAAGAATGCAAAAATGTAGTCTTTAAAAAAGCAAAAAATGAAACATGAAGTAGTAGGGCTCTTCCCTGTTTTGTGCTCATCTCTGTTAAGAACTAACTTCCCTAGACAGCTGCCTGCAAAGGGAAAAATCTTCAAACAGTAAGTGGTCCAGAAGCCAGTCCTTCTCGGAGCTGAGGAGGGATGGAGACTCATTCGTGCAGCTGATAGTATATTGCTGCTGGCAATAGATTTGCTTCATGAATTGGAAGTGCGGCGATTTCCCTTTGACTTGTAAGTGTTGAATTTGCTGTTTTAAGCATTGGTACATATAAGAAGTCTGAGGAATGGCGAGTTTGAGACTCTTTTCTCCGTCGATGTCAGCATCTTCATCCTCTCGTTCCCCAGATGAACCGGCTCCTCGTAGCCTCAGCAAGACAGGTGTAAGTCATGTGCGGGGTAGCGACCCAGGAACAGACTCTGCCTTCATTGCCCATGACATGCAGATGCCTTCTGTCCTTGCCCCCAAAGGTCCTTTGTGTCCAGTGTCAACCTAGGAATGCCCCTCATTTCTTTCTCACCCTGGCTTTGAAAGAGAAGGCACCTCTGTTTGGTTTTACAAGAAAATTTGTTTTCAGTAGTCCTGAAGAGATGGCAGAATGCCAAAGATCTGCTTAAAACCCAGTCAGTTGTCTGATTTTTGCAAAAGAGCTAGTTTTTTGTTGTTCTTTTTTTTTCCTTTTACAGTTCTGCAATTCCATCACAGTATTTTTTAAATAACTCAGGTGTTATGAGAACAAATTAGAAAATAAATAACTTATGTATGTGGACTGTAAATGTTTTATTTGTAAAATTCTATAAATAAAGCTATATTCTATAACTGTTGAATGCCAAGTGTGATCTCTTGCCATAAAGTGGGTGTAGTGCAGTCACTTAAACACCAGGTGGCAGTGGTGTCTCACTGTCTTGTGAAGTATTTTTCTAGTGCAGTTAAATTTTTATATATATATTTCTCTAATGCATAGTCCAGGCCAGAGGTGTGAGAGTGAGAAGATTCACCAGAGACAGTGGGGAGCATAACAGAAGGATCTACTGAAATAGACTGTTCAGAGGAGCAGCAGGTGAGATGAGAGGTCTGCTGCGGGTCTGTTAGGGCTGAGATTTAACCCCTACACCACCAGGGATCCCTCAGCTTAATTTTAATGAGGGGGTTTTATATGGAACCTTAAATATCATGTGCTCACTTTATACATGGTTATTTTATCTTCCCTGAGGCCAGTGATTTCCTTGATGTTGCTGGATGGCAGACCATGAAGGTGCTTCCTGTGAAGAGCTTTCAAAGTTCATTAACCAGGTACCATATCAAACTGCCACAGTTGTTTAAGGTGACACCCTGGTCCATGGGTCTCCAGAGGCCTTCCCTTGGGCCCCCAAGCTGGGATAGGAGCTTGTTGACAGGCATGAATTGTCACTGCTGTTGTCTCTATACTGTGTTCCATCTGGGCAGAGGCTGTATTCACTCTGCCTTCAGCACCCTCCACACAGAGTGAATGAAAAAACCTGGTCAAGTGCCTATGCTTGGGAAGGCTCCCTTCCCACAGTCAGTAGTCCTGTCGTGTCTTCTGGTTTTGCTTCTACCCTGTCACCTGGTCTTCTATTCAAAAATTTTTGACCTGCGTAAAGCAGCGATGCAAGCGAACCAGGTCATCAAGAAGATCAAGAAGAGGGACGCTTTGATGTTGACCCTCTGGTCCATTGCTAGCTGCCCAGCCTAGCTGCTCTCCAGTGTGGGGGAGGGTGACCACCCTGCCTGGTCTCATTGCTTCTGCGTGTTCTCTCCCATCCAGTGAAGCTGAGGCCGGACTTGAGTAAAATCCATTTCAATAAATAATAGACACTAATTATGCACACAAAATTTTTGATTTGTGGAAGAATAATACTCAGAGATTTTTATATTCTTAATCATCTGGTATGAAATACCTAGACTTTCAGAGGAGGATGTTCAGATACCAGCAAAATGAATTCCTGTCATCCTTCTGAAATAAGCTGAATTGCATTCCCTTCACGATAGATGACTCTTTCAGATAAACTTTTTTAAATAGAAAAAAAAAATTGGAGCTTGGAAAAGAACCATAAGTCCTTATCTGCCTTTAACTAAGTATGTTTAGAATTCCTAGCCAAAAACCATTTTTCTTCCCAGCATCATAACCCCTTCTTGCCAGATGTCTATTCAGGGCTTATTTTAAACAAAGGAAGGGAGTTAACAGAAAGTATCTTCCTGTATGACAGCAATCTTTGACCCTGGCAGTGGGTGGGATTCCCGAATGGTGGCATCAATTATAGTTAAGAAATAGCCCAAAAGTGTTCTAACTGGCAATTATAAGCCAAGGAGGAGTTCTTTCTTCCACCAGGTTGTGGTTTTTGTTTATCTGTGGCTTGCTTATATATCTTTGGAACATTGAGATTGCCTAAGAACAAGGTTAGGCAATTATCTGCATGGATTTTTACATACACACGTAACAAAGCTATCAAGAAATTTCTAGTGGAGGGGCCCCTGATTAAAAAATAACCTTTTCTCCTCTGGCTTAAGTTGTTGGGAGAACCTTAGGCTCAGTGCAGTTAGGGCCAAGTTCAAGAACTACACCACAAAAGCAGCATAAAAATGGCATCAAGAAATCTCTGTCACAAAGATAGAAATCTCTTAAAGGGCTGGACCTGAAGCTCTGAGGAACGTGTGCTTTGCCAGGAAGGGTCTAAAGCAAGGCCATGAGTGCACTTGCTGGGCCAGTGAAGTCAAGGGCTCAGCTGCAAACTGGCTGACTTGCCCCCTCACTCAGCGTGGGAAACATGCCCATGCCTGGCACTGCCATGGGTCTCAGGCTCCCCTGGTCAAAGACGGAGGGAGTACCAAGGGTACATCTCCAGACCAAGGGTACATCTCCAACACAGGTTCCCAAAAGTACCCAGGCCCGCACAAAGGCTCCCGAATAGAAAACACTGTTTATAAGTACAGAAGGGTGGTGTCACCCCTGGGCTGTGATCTGCAGAGCTCCGATGTCTTGTGCTATTGGTACAAATAAGCCTCAAGAAGAAGAGAAAACCCTTGGGTGAAGCAATTCTAAATGTGAAGTGCACTCCAACTATTGACCTGCATTTGACTGACCTTGGTGAGCACATTTATTTCCTACAGGAGTAGGGGTGGGCTGTCCATGTGTATGGCATGGTAGGAGACAGGAGAGGTACTTGTGATCTGGAGTGAGAGCCTGGCTGGGGAGGGGTGGTAGAGAGCAGACTGCAAACAGGGCAGTGTAAGGCGCAAGGGAAGCTTTGCACACATCCTTGAGTCCACAGTCCAGGCCCACAGAGTCGCCAAAGCGAGAATGAGTGGTGCTGGAGATGGGGAGGGCCCCGAGCAAACCCATAGCGCACCCTCAGTGCTGCCTGTCTGGCCCATCGGACCTGATGTTCTTGTCTTGTTGTCCGTGTTCTTGTCTAGACCTGGGCAGGCCCCAGGCAGCTACTGGAAGTAGCAATAAGCCTCTGAGAAGTGTTTGCCTACATTGGCCACTATCACACGGCCACGCCAAGTCAGTGCCAGGCCTACAGCTCTGCAAACTTGATATAAGACAGAGAGGAGCCAGCACTGGCCAGTAGCTGGATGATCCTGTTGCTCCATGGGCGGCAAAGATGGTCTCATTGTAATCAACTGCTACTGCCAAGGCAGGTGGGGTGGTGGGTGGAGCTGCCCCTCCCCCAGCTGTGGGAACCTGGTCATGGAGAAGTGTCAACGACATTCTCATTCTTGCTTCCCCAGCCAAAAAGTGAGGCCTGCAAAATAGCCAGTGGGCTTGACTTTGGGCTAGAGTTTGAAAAAGTAATTGTAGAATGCAATGAGTGTGTGCCCACTGGCTCTGTGGCACTCCCTGGGGGTAGTGCTGGTCTTGAACTTACCCTCAGGGAAGAATGGAGATGCTCACTCCATGGTCACCTTGGACTGCCACAGCAATGTCTCCATTGAGGTCTGCACACCTCTGGAGGGCTGTGGCTGCCCAGGAGTGCAGCCACCCTCACAACCCAAAGCCAACTTGACCTTCACTGCATTGGAGAAAATCTGAACACATCATCGCTGTCAGCTGCCACTCTGTAATGTCTGCTAGCTGCTAGCACATTGCGAACTCCACCCTTCTCCCTTCCAGGACTGCCAGCTCCAAGCTGAGCTCATCTGTAACAGTTCTGTGTGCCGCCCTTGCTGGACTTGGACCTGGGACCAGCCAGGCAGCTGGGGGGATGGGACATAATACTTGACGTCCAAGAAGGTGGCAAGGGTGTGCATGCTTCGCTAAGATTTTTTTTTTTCATTTTTTAAAGATTTTTAAAATTTTCGTTATGCATACCAGAGCTGGGGTCCAGGGCAGAGTTGCAGGGGTGAGAGGATTCACCAGAAACAGTGACGAGCAGAAGAGGGAGATGGACTGAAATACACCGCTGAGGGGAGCAGTGGGCAAGACAGGGGAGGTCTCCTGCACCATGTGGGTTAACTCCCTGGCTAAGGGTCAAACTCAGGCCTCATGTTGGTAGCACAGTAGGCTGAGACTTAACTCCTATGCCACGAGGGAGCCTTTGCTAAGATTTTTAAATGCAACAAAATAGAAGAATAGAACCCAAGCCAGTTAAATGGGAAAGGAAAATAAGGGAGAGTTTTTTTTTTTTAACTTAAAATAATCAGGTCTTTAATCATAGGTGTTAGTAAGGAATGAAAAAGTCTCTGATCTATGGCATCCACCCTCGCAGAGTAAGCATCTCCAAGTGGCATGTTTGCTATAGCTTCTTGAGGCTAATAAAACAAGCTTGTTTGAAGCTGGTGTCTGGCTGGCCCCTATAGACATGGACTTGACAGGAAATAATTTGTTGCCCAATTCACATGGTTTCAACATTTTGTAGCAATGCTCCAAATAATTTAGTTTCCCCCTTCTTGAAAATTATGTGTACGGAAGAAAGCAATGGGATTTAGATTTTTTTTTTCTGGAGAGTTATTTTTTAAATTAGATTAAATTGATTTTTCACTCCAGATGTTTTGATTATATCCTAAACGGAGGAATAAATAAAACCTAAACATGAGAGATATCATGACATCATTTTTATTTAAGACATGTCATGTTTATCTCTGCAAATCTGTTTTCATGGTATGGTCTACTTAGCTAATAGAAAAAAAAAATTCATTCCACAGTTCATACATTAAAATTTGGCTTGAAAACTGGAACCAAATGCCTGGGGAAAGTGCCTGACTTAGCTGATGATACTATTTTTTCACTGAAAAATGTAACGCAGGCGCCTGCTGGTGATGCAGGGGGTTAGTTAAGTCTCAGCCCTATGAAGCTGTCCGCAGCCACTGCAGCGCTCATCCCTGGCCCGGGAGCTGACCCGCTTGGCACCGCAGACCTCTCCCGTCTCACCCATGCTCCCCTCAGCAGTGTGTTTCAGTGGATCCACCTGTTCTGCTCCCCGCTGTCTCTGGTGAATCCTCTCCCTCACTCTCTCACACCTCTGGCCTAAACCCAGCTCTTGTGTGTATAGATAAATCTTAAAAAAAGAAAGAGAAAAATGTAGTGCAGCTTTGTAAATAAGTAAGCATAAATAAAAAGTTCTTAGAAGAGGGGTTAAGTTTGAAGTAAATGAAGATAAGTAACAGCTAATACAACTAATGCAGCGTTGGGATTTTGTCGTTGTCTTTAAACAAAAGAGCGCTGGATCTTAAGTCCAAAAGAATGGATTTGTGTTGG